ATATATATTTTTTTTTTTGTGGGGTGGTATTGGGGACGCAAAACAACTCGATCGCTGTAACTTCCGTTAGGTAGGACTACAACTCTTCGTGATGTGAGGCACACGCATTTGTGTGGGTTTCTGTGTGTTAGGACATGAATGAGTGCTTTGTTTTTTTTAGTTCCTCTTTCACTCGTTCGTTCAGTTGCTCATGCATTCGTTCCTTTTCACGCAATTGTCTTGTACGAAAATAGGTTGCCGGCACGTAAGCACAAAAAGGTAAGGCAATGTGACGCTGATTGCGTTGTTGACTCATTACTCACTATTGGGCACACTCTCAATCACGGGTGATTGCCTGCACTGCTATACAAGTCATCGTTGGCATGATCAGCTCTCTATCCGTAAGTTGAGCGAGCCTGCGAAGCGATAGGTTCACCACCAGGTGTGCGAAACTCTCTCGAATCGTTGGGATTGAAGCTGATATTTCTGGGTTTTCTGTATATTTGTCTGGTGTCATGATTGCTGGTGGGATGTTTTGTTGTTGGCACACACCATGTGGGTTCACCCTGTCAGCTTCTGTGTTGATGGAAGATAGCGGTTTCTGTTGTTGCTGCCTTTATTGTTGTTGTTTTCTTTTCATTTTCGTTTTCTTTTCTGAATATGTGAAGTGCAGCAGAGGATTGCACAATGTGGAGCCTCGTCATAGTCGCTCTAACAGTTGCGTTGTTGCTCTGCTCTGATGAAAGTCTCGCTCTTCTGGAGCACCTGTGCATCTTCGACAAACTCAGGCGGCACGGGGACGTACTGCCGATCGCAGTGGTGCGTGAGACTGCTCGCAAAGGGGAAGGCCTGTGGCACCTTTTCACCGCGGCCGTGCCTGGCTGGGCGCCGATCCGCATCAAGGTGTTCACGGAAGACATGAAGAGCCCGGATAAGTATTGCACTAAAGAAGGGGAGATGCGTCCGGACTTTCGCGGGGAAAATGTCTTGTGTCAGAAAGGCGATATATTAACACCAGAGAGGAATGCCACAATCATAAACGAGCTAATCCCCGCCGCGGTCAAGCTGCACGCTGATCGACTTCTTGTTCGACCCGTGATGGGCGACTTGGTTGTGCCTGAGTTCAGCGGGGGATTGTGTATGCATTTTGCAATACCTTCAAGTCATCACAAAGCTGGTGTGTCCGATGCCGACATGATTCTTTACGCTGCTGCTGGCCCGACAAACGGAATGACACTCGCGTGGGCAATGACTTGCTCTTGGCTGAGGAGTGGTCGTCCAGCTTCTGGTGTCATGAATTTTGGTCCAAAATCCATTACAGCCACATCACTTAGCATTCGAACGACTGCCCACGAGATTGCGCATGCTCTTGGGTTCAACTACGAACAGATGGTAATTTTGAAGATGATATCCACTGTTAGAGGCGTGCGCGGAAAGAACTCCGTGATGGTGGTGTCGTCACCAAAAACAAAGGAGATGGCACAGAAGCACTATAACTGCAGTACTGTTGAAGGTATGGAGCTGGAGGACGAGGGAGGTCAGGGGACAGCGCGTTCCCACTGGGAGCGGCGCAATGCCAAGAACGAGCTGATGGCTGGAATGAGTGGTGCTGGTTATTACACTGCGCTAACAATGGGAGCGTTCGAGGACATGATGTTTTACAAAGCCAATTGGGGAATGGAAGAACATATGAGGTGGGGCCACAACTCGGGCTGCAAGCTGTTGGAAGAGAAATGTTTGGTGAATGGTGTCTCTGCTTATCCAGATATGTTTTGTAACAAATCTACTGGGGGTGCCATGCATTGCACGTTTGACCGTCAGGCATTAGGGTACTGCTCTTTGGCTTCGCATGAAAAGCCCCTTCCCGAAGAGTACCAGTACTTTGAATCACCCTCCGTTGGCGGCCAAGCAGAGGCACTAGAGGACTATTGTCCCACCATCTTTCCACATGCGAATTATTGGTGCGCTGATAGTTCTGGTCTCACTGTTCCTGGGAGTCGTATGGGCCCGACGTCTCGATGTCTGAAGGGTGATGCCCTCCATTTGGATGCGAACGCCATTGGTGACGTGTGTGGGGAAGTTTCATGCAATGATGGCACGGTGAGTGTGCGGTACCTTGGCGACGATACCTGGTACCCATGCCCCGAGGGTGGCCACATTACGCCCAACGTGACCTTTTTGAGCGGGCGCATTCTCTGTCCAAATTACGCCGATGTGTGCATCACACACCCCAACGGTAGCAGTGGTATTTGCCCAACCAACTCATCAGGCAAATGCACCCGCCTCAGCAGTAGCCGTGCACGTGCAATCTTTGAAACGTTCATCGATAGTGAAGTATTCGATAAGATGCTCGTGGTGTTAGCTTTTATTTGGCTGTTTTTGTTAATCCTTCTCATTTGTGAAGCAGCGTCGCCTCTGTTGCCCTCCAGCTCGTGGTACACAAGCCACATCGCCGGCGTTGTGCAAATACTTGCCGCACTACGTCGCCGAAGATTATCATGTAAGGGAAACGCCACTAGTGGGAGTAACCCTTGCCTTGCGTGATACCTTTTCACACACATACACTTTGAAGGCGAAGATCTTTTTTCTTTTGTTCATTGGTTTGCTTTATGGATCCCCTTCTCACCTTCGGGAAAGAGAGCCATAACCCTTCTTTTCGACTTTTCTCTTTTTTTTTTCGCTTGTTGCACATCTGCTTTATACATTAATACATCTTGTAGGTTTTTTTTCTTTCTTTCTTTCCTGTGAGGTCTTCCGCTGAACTCATTCTATCATTTAATTCCCCTGAAAAGAAAAAAACATTCTTGCTCTACATATACAGACCTTTTTTTTTATAGCTGAATCCAATTTGCTTTCACGGCAGCTTGATCTATGCACCGCAGCGAAGCTCACCACTTTGAGGACTAGCGCAGGCGCATATGCCACGATGGCTTTCAAGATTGCCAAATCCATGAGTGTATACATTTTTTTTTCTCCGGTTTGTGCAAAGAGCACCGTGGTGAATCGTTGTCTGTGCACTTAGCGCTTTTGCGTCGAGGTATGTGCCATACTTCTTGGTGTGTACAATATATGTGCTGTGGTATGGATTTGTTACACTTGTTTTTTTGATTGAATATTGTATCTGGCTCCCTCTAATTGCCCGCGTTAAGCTGTGCCGTGTGTGTCGCTATGGAGTAAATTCAATAGCGGGTGGCTGGTCTTGTTGTGCCAACTACCTGATTACTCGGTTTATCCTTTACACTGACGTGACGTCAGGGCTTCTTTGCGGCACCACTGTGTTTCTCTTTTACGACTGCATGTGAGAGCAGCGGTGGGTGTGCTTCTTCTTCTCCCAATTTTTCCTGTGATCTAAAATAGAGGACGGCCACAAAAGAAAGAAAACATATTTTGTCTCTAGGAAAATCATCATGTCTAGTTCCAAGGATGCTAAACTGATTATTGCAGGTTCAACAGGCTTAATCGCCGTTGTTGCCGGTGCGTTTGGTGCCCATGCTCTCCAAGACCGCCTATTGCCCAAGCAGCACAACGCTTGGACCACTGCTGTAAAGTTCAACCTCCTTCACGCCGTTGGGGAGATTGCTGTTATTGGCGTGCTAAAGTGTGTGGACCCACAGAGCCCAGCAGGCAAGCATCTTACCCGTGCATTCTACTTGTTTGCTGGTGGAACAGCACTCTTTTCAGGCTCTATCTACGCCCTCTGTCTTGGTGCTCCAAAGATGATTGGGCCAGTGACGCCTATAGGCGGTGTTACGCTCATGCTCGGATGGATCTCCGTTGCCCTAGCCGGTTTGTGAGAAGACTCATCCGCTACTAATTCTTTTGGTGGTATGGATTATAGCATGAACGTGTACGAGTAGTATTTGAAGTGTTATTTTCTTCACTCACTCTGTGTGGAGTGTCAGAAGACCGTGTGAGCCCCTTTAGGGTTGAGGTTTTGTGGCGTCCCATTACGAAAATAAAGTCTCATATGGCTCTCACTTCACTTATCTCTTGCATGTGAAGGTAAGCACTCCAAGAGGAAGCAAAAACAACAGTATATTGTTTAAGAAGGAAGATATGCCCAAGGTGAGAAAC